TTTGGTAAATTCTGATCTAAAACATCACTTAAAAAAAAATTTACAGAACTCATACGGCACACTGTTGCAGAAATATTCAACTCATTTTTAACTTGGACAAGTCATATTTTTCAAAGTCAGGTATTTTAAAACTTAATAGCTTTACCATGTTTTGTTCTCCCCTCCAAATATTTTCCATTCTTTATTTTTTTCTATATTGATGGCAGAGATCCCAGGATCTGTTTTGCTACAGGAATAGCTTGTGTGGTAATTACGTAAACTAATAACGATGAAAACTTCACCGGCAGGAATAATAAATGGCTTTATTATGCAGAGAATACTATTTCCATGAGAAAGTATGAACTTAGAAAAACGAATTATAGATAGGAAAGTCAATGTCATATATATATATATATATTTTTGGCGAGGCAACTCTTGGTTGACCTCGCAGCTTGCAAGGACCTTGTCAGTTTACAATCCCTTATTTTTCATCTTTTATGCCTACAGCACCTGGTCTTCCTAGGTGGTCTCCCATCCAAGTACTCACCAGGCCCGACCCTGCTTAGCTTCCAAGATCAGACGGGATCGGGCGTGTTCAGGGTGACGTGGCTGTAGACTCAATGTCTTACATTTTTACAAATCTAGAAAAATGTCAGAGAGTTAAAATTTGTCATCGGAAAAAGTTTTATACAAACAAAACTGACACTCTTAGAATAAGAAGGGACCCCGGAGGTCATTTGGTACCATGTCGCACACCAGCTGCAGAAATAGGGAGGCACTCGTGGCTTTTGGGGCTAACCATTAAGTTTCCAGTGATCTCCAAGTATTAGAAATATCTATTTTCTAGTAAAAAAAAAAAGGTGCTTCCATCAGCTAGTTCCATTTCTACTTCTTCAAAATTTATAATAATAAAATGATGACTTTATTCAGTTTACCAATTTTTAAAAAGAAACTGTTACCGAATGGCTTTTAAGAATATTTGGAATGGTTTTTCTTTTTTATTTCATATCTTTTCTTTAACATCTTTATGTAAGAGTGCTTTACACGCCACGCAGAATGATAAAACGTATTGGAAATAGTGAAGAACTTAGGAACATCACAAACAGCCTTCTTTCCTTAAAGGAAGGGAAATCCAACTTCCTGAAAAAAGGGCAAAGAAATTTTTATTTTTTAACAGAATCACGAACCAGTAATGGCAAAATGGGGGATAAAATGAAGATGCTCTGACTCATTCCACTATTTAATAAGTGATTTATAAACTATTCCTAATTTTATGCGAACACGAGCTTATTATTACCCAATTAGCCTTAG